ATCCAGGCTCGGGGTCAGGTTCAGACTGGGAGCTGTAGCCACTACCTCTTCCCCTGAGCTGCTGCCTCTGAGTCTCTGGCTCCAGTAGGACTCTGGCCCTGCTCCAGCCCAGGGCACAAAACATGTGGTTGCTCCGGCCCCAGCCCAACCCAGTCTGGTAAAAGCAGCGCATGGTGGCAGCAGCTCCAGCTATGGAGCCTGGCCATAGCTGCCATGTGGCTGGGCTGGAGCCAGAACAACCACATGCTCCATGGTCCAGGGGCTAGAGCCTGCTGGAGCCAGAGGGTAAGTAGTGGCAGCAGGGGGGTGGGAGGAGGCAACATCTGCAAGAGAGGAAAGGGTGGGGGGGGCAGGCATTGGTGGGGGGGCAGTGGCAGGGGAGGCAGCAAGGGGAAGGGGTCAGGCCACTTAACCTTCTTACCACCTGCCCCCCTACTTCCCCTGCACCATCTGCCCCCATTGCTTGCCCCCTCACTGCCTCTCTCACTATCTGCCACTGCAGCTGTGGTGAGGATGAGTGAATTTTAGATGACTCTCCAATAATTAGACTATATACATAGGAAACTATAACAAATTTATAAATTTTCCATATATAGAATATTGGGGGGGTCATCTCATCTTAAATTCAGAGTCATCTTAGATTTGGATAAATATGGTAAATGTCCTTTATAGAGAAATATTAATAGTGGGGCAGGAACTAGGTTTCAGTAAGTTAGTGGTTGTTCTGGCATTGAGCTGAAGAAGCTGCTCTCTCAACTAAAGCAAATGGAGATTTTGTTGTAGTTTACTACTCCATAGTAATGCCAGAAGAATTGTTGCTAAGTGTATAGTATTGCAATTTAATGCTTTATTCAAGCTCATGTCTTTCTGCATAGCCAGGTGAAGTTTAATAAGAAAGTCGATAACAACAAACAGGAGGTTATGAATGGGGCCCACGATCAAGAATGTAGTACGAGAGTAAGTTTTGAATTTTGTAACATACCGCACATAGCATTTCTAGTTGTTCTGCTTTTGCTTATGAACTGTTCCATCTCCTTTCAAACCTACAGGAAACACAGACACAATGCTCAGAAGTAGAAGAGGTTTACTTGGAGCAAAAGGCTAGTAGCTTCCATATAAGTAACTAATCATTATTCATCAGAAACCCTAGCTAATGGAACAGTGAAATGACAGAATTCAGTGAGAAGGGGAAAGGAAAAAGCTAGAAAACAGCTGTCTTATTGAACATAAGAAACAGTTAGAGGGAGGAGTGTGTCTGTTACCCACTAGGTCAGTGATTCTCAACCAGGGCACCACAGCACCCTGGGATGCCTTGAGAGCCTTTCAGGGGTACCACAGTGTGCCATGCAAGAATAGTACTCCTAAATGTGCAAACATGATTCATAAGATAAACCTAGAGATTTCAAATAAGAATTCATAATGTTAAAAATATTCTCACTGATGCATTTTGGTCTTTCTGGGCATGTCTACATGAAACATTGACTGTGCAGTAGCCTGATACTGCTTCACAGTAGCGTTGTGTGGCAAAAACTGGGATGCGGCACTACTGTGTAGTAGTATTAGACTTCTGCACAGTAGCATAAAAAAGGCGTTCACTGGTGCTATTTCACAGTAACTTGAGTTATTTATTTACTGCTTGTTTATACAAGTACTAAATAAATGTGCAGTAATCACTGCACAGTAGTGTCTGGTGTAGACATAGCGTCTGACTTTGCAACAGGAGACTTGCTCTAGTATTTTTCTTTAGTCAAAAATCAAGTGAAATCTAACAGCTGACATTTTCCAAGTGGTGCCTTGCATCTAAAAAGGTTGAAAATCACTGAACTAGGTGGAGAATTCAGGTCCCTCCTGCTGATTGTTTGAGGCTACTGCCCCTAACTTAAAGTGCAAACCTTGAAAGGGATAAGTGTCTTTGGATTTCATGGCACAGCCCTCTAGGCTAGGGACAGAAGTTATACACAAACCAGTTTAAGGGATCAGAAACTGGTTTAAACCTGTAACAGAACAGAAGTTCAGTGCACTTACTTTCAAAATGCCCCAAACTGATTTAAGATCAACCTGGTTGGATGTAGTAGCAGGCTTAACTGATCTAGGCCAAACTGGTTTATGGAACTTCTGTCCCAGACCCACTCCTGGTTCAAGTTAAGTTACAGTCCCTCAGCATCCCAGGATACTTTGCAGCCCTAGGCTGTGTTGTCTGCTTCAGCAGCATATGGTATGCTCCGCCCCTCTGCTCACTAGTTGGAGCACTATCACTCCTCTGGTTGAGTGAGGAGAGGGTGGGGGGAAAATCCACCCCTCTGGCCCAGCATCGGACCCCCAGCCAGATGTTACTGGGGGGGAGGGGGCAGAGGGGGCACCTGTTGCACCTGCATTCAAAGACTTCTATTGTAGAAAAAAATAAAATAAATCAATTAAATTCTAACAGGCTGGGGACTTTCATTTTTTGCATGTTGCCTGTGCATTTCATAGGTATTTAAAGGTAATACTGCCAGCTCTCACAATACAGTTTACAGAGCTTTGAATTCAAGTCTTGCCAAGTATGTAAAGTAGAAAGTAATTTAATTAAAATGTATCTCAATGTGTCAGTTAAATCATTGAGAATATCTTCCAATAGGTTTTCACTTCCTAGGTTTACTATTTCAAACAGTATTCATAAGGATTCCAGCATCATACTGTTTGGCTTTGAATGAGGTGCTCCAATTCATCGGTACCAAGTAGATCAGTAACGGCCTCTACTACATATCTAGTTTTGGTCTGATCCCATGGGGAAGAGCTTAACAAATTTCACTGGATGACAGCCTTCATTTTTATCATTTTTTTATCATTTTCATTTTTAAAGCTATTCAAGTCACTTACTGCTCTGTTGTCCTGTTTTTCTCTTTACTAGAAAGACCGTTCTACATTTGTGGAGATTGATCTAAGAGACACAGTTGAAGAGGTAAGAATAGAACAGGCAAACCTGAATATGCTGTAATTATGAGTATCCTAAAAGAGGGAAGTATGGGGTGAACAGCATGGGAAATATTGTTCAGATCTGCTATCAGCTGCTTGCTAGCTGAAATCTATCCATACCTCAGAGTAATGTCTTAATACTGAGGTTTTTAAAGTGTACTCCTTTATAAAATATATTCACAAGTGTTACAACAAAGCAAAATGTCTGTTATTAATAAAAGGTGGAGTTACTTCTTTTAAAATGAAAAGGAAATGGGGAGAATTGTAGCCAATAATCCATACATCTGTAGCTGGTAGATTGAGCAAATTGGTCATTAAGAAGAGAACAGCGTCTGGAAGGTCACTATTTGAGCATGGGTTCAGCAAAGGACAACCATGATTCACTAGTCTCTAAGAATTCTTTGAAGGTGTCCATAAGGTAGAGGATAAAGAACAACCTCTTGACGTAATTTATACTGTCAAAAGGCTTTTGATAAGGTCTCAAACCAGAAGCTTCTGAAGAAGCTAAGTAGAGTAGGGTAAAAGGTGAAGTATTTTCAAGGATCAAAAATAGTCTAGGAGACAGAAAGCAAAAGAGTAGACTTCAACAGTTAGCTTTTTTACCATGATGAAAATGAATAACTGGGAGTCTCAAGACTCTGTGGCAGAACTTGAAGTTGTTCAATACTGTGAATGGGGGTGGTGAATAGTGAGATGGTTAAAATTTGGAGATGACAAGAAGTTATTTGGGCAGCACTGCATGTTAAAGATAGTTCTAAGCTATGGGGAAATACAAGACAGTGTGGATAAAAGTCTACATTAAAATATTTCCCATGAGGAAAGACTGTAAAGGAAATTTTCTTTAGGGATAGTGCAGGGAGTGGTATAGACCCGCAGGAGCAAATGCAGATATGTAGCAAGATCTCTAATGTGATCAAAGAAATAAACACTGCAAGAACTGTGTCATTACTGGCGGCTTTCTTTTGCAGTTACAGCTTGGAAACCAAATGTTACTAATAATAGTAGCACCCTATTTCTGGATGTGATAGCTGACACATTTCTTCATCAGTTAGTCACTGAGCTAATAATGGGAGATGCTGTTTTAGACTTGGTAAATAGTGAGGATTTAAGGAAACAATTTTGGATCGTGCGATCATGAGCTGATTCCATTTAAATTAAAAGGAAGGACAAATAAGAATCAGTCAAAAAGTTTACATGTTCAAGTAGACAAACTTTGATAAACTTAAGGATAGTAGTTAGTGAAGTCAACTGGACTGAACAGTGTAGGTGCAGAAATATGAAAAGGGCGTGCAATTTTTTTTAAGTCACAAAAAGGCACAAGGCACTAAAACATCTGGTACTCGTATCCCAAGCAATGGAGGGAGGTGGGGAGAGCAACAGTACAAAGTACAAGTTTATGACCTCTAGGAAGGAACCAGAATTTTGCTCGAAGTAAGGAACTTCTTTTGTTATTTCCAACTGATCAGACAGACCTTGAATGACATCACATGGAGGTTTGTAGGTATCAAAGAAGTGATGCTTTGGAACAGCTCTCAAATTACAGAAATGGGGAATCCTTAGTTAACATGGTGTTTTGAGCATGTTAGTAATAAGATTATATGATGTGCTTGCCTTTAATAGAAAGGGGCCAGTCTTGATGATCTAGATACCTGCCAGTCTTAGGTATTAAATTAATTCAGGTTTAAAAAAAATATATTAAAAAAAATCAGGACCAGAGAGCACTTTGAGGACCTTCACAGAGACCTAAATAAGCTGCTAAACAAATGAATAAAACCACTGCTAGTGAAAACAATGTTGAACAAAATGCAGTGATACATATTGTAGGGGGAACTTAAGCTAGTCACTAACTTTACAAGAGTCTAAGTTCATTCCCTTAAGTCAAGAATGGGAGCTGGGCATCAAAGCATAGGATGCAGAAGACATGACAGAAAATACAGAGAATGTTATGAAGTTTTATGTAAGTCAGTGGGGAAACTTCATTTGGAAGATGCTGAGCAGTTCTGGTTGTCAGTCCCTCTCAAAAATGGTGCTAAAGGATGCTCAGAGGGAAGCAACAAAAATGATCAAGGGCACAGAAAAATCCTTGTATGGTGAGCAAATTTAAAGCATGGGCTTGCATGCCTCAGAAAGGAAGGTCATGATAGAAGTATAGAAAGTAGCAAATGGTACAGAGAAAGTAGATGGAGAACTTTTGGGTTTGTTTTAATCTTATAATGTAAAAACAAGGAGAGAGCCAATGAAATGAGGTGATACAAATCCAAAGCTGTTAATAGAAGTTACTTTTCTCCACAACATATGGTTAAGCTGTGGAGTTTACTGCCTCAGGAAGTTGTTGAGATCAAGAACTTAGCTAGCTTTAAAAAAGCTGTATATTTATTGGATAGGTAATGGCAATAAACATTTTGAAAAGGGACATCACTCATCATACTGCTGGGGTTATACTAACCTCTGTCTATCAGAGATCTGGATGAGACCAATGACAGTTCACATTACTTGTATCTTTCTAATGAGTGGTTCTTACACCTTCCTGTGAAATATCTGGTTCTGGCTACTGTCAGATAACTGATACCTGACCAGAGGGATCTATGTCTGGTATGCTGGGATGCTTCAGAAACACTAGTTGTTCTGCAGTGGTGGCCTACTTTTGTCCTGTTCAGGTACCAGAGTCCTCCAAGCTTACTTTGTAGCTCAGAGGATCTTCACCTGTTTTCATTTTATCCTGCCTCACTTTATAATATAATCAGGACTAGTAGTAGAGATGACATCTTTTATTAGACCAACAAGATTTTTGCCACAAAAATTCTTTAATTGCAAGCTTTCGGGCACAAATACCTTTCATCAGGCATTGGAGAAAAGATTGTAAAAGTCCTCCTGGGTAGAAATGAAAATTCATATTTCACAGGATTTCACAGTGGAGTCAATAGATGGAAAACTCCTCTGGGCAGGCACTTCATAGCTGGTATGAAGCCTCTTGCCTCCAGTGAGGATCTGTGATGATGCAAATTGCCTTGAAACAAAGGCAGGAGCAGGATCTCAGGTTTCAGGTGGTCACAGTTGTTTCCTGCTTGGGAAAATATGATTTCATTTCAAGAAAAGATTTCATTTCACTTTATAAATGTGCCTTTTTGCCATTGAAGAGGACTAGCTATAGCTTCCTGTAGAGCTCAGTAGCAGCATTAAATATACCTTTTTGTAACTCCTTTTGACCAACTACCTCCCCTCTCCTCAGGATCTGAGTGGGATCTATAGCCTATATAAGCTCAGAAACAGGGATCTAAGTGACACGACAGATTCTGGTTCTCAGTACTGCCCAATGTTGAACTGACCCTAAAGCCTTAGTCAGCCAATAGCATAAATTTGTTACTCCGCTCCAGGTTCACTGACCACATTTCCAAGCAGGCTTGCATCCAAAGTAAACCAATCCCGTTAAGCACAGGCAGGATCCAGTTGTGCATCCACACTAAGGTACATGCACACCAAGGGATTTTCCTTCCTAGGCTATAACTGTGCCAGTTTGAAAACATAGGCCACAAAGAGCAGTACCACAGAACTAATGTTATGTGGACTGGAGATGCCAGTTGAGATGGAGATCTGATAAGCCACTGTTTTTGCTGCATACTGAAAGCATGGCTCACCTTAAAATACGAACATCGCAAAAAGAGGATTGTGAGTTTGCCATTTTATTTCCTTTCGCTGATTAGCTAGATCAGATCCTCTTGGCTTGCAAGAAATCCAGTTGCCAACCTGATAAAAGCAACCTGGAATCTGTAAGTCAACTGACCTCAACATGGATTTGCTGATGTCCTTTAATTCCATAAGCTATGCTGATTTGAGGCTTAGTAACACCAGAAGTAGAAGCAGCAGTAGCAAATGTGCACAGGGAACAGATGCACCCATAAAAAGGCACCATTTTGTTGTATTTTGTGTAGCAGAGCTGCCATTTAAGTTTTGCTGCATGTTGTTAGATAAGAATATCTTGATTAAATTCTTGCTATTTGTAAATATATATTATTTGGGCTTCAGATAATGGAAGACATCTTGATAGAGGAGAAGCAACCTGAAAAGGAGGAAGGACCACAGGAAACAGAGTATGGAAAATATTTTAGACTTCACAGAAGATGTTATTGGGAAAAGCTAATGTGAAACTATGTTTGGTCTTTTTATATCATTAATGTGTTGCAGGAAAAGTTGAAAGTTGCTGGTAATGAAAAGGGGTACAAATCAGGGAGATATATATATAAAAGAAAAGATATAGTGCTGCAGGTATTGCTGTGCCCCAAATATTTTTTTTCTACCCACCTTAGCGCCAATAACTAGAGTTGTGCTGTCACATAAGAGCACAGGTCCAGTACATTAGTTACCATGCCAGCTGTAGATGACACAGCTTTTAAACCCTCCCATATTTAACAAGCCTTTTTTTCCTCTTGACCTTGGATGAGATGGAAAGCTGCTGTTTACTCTAGTCAGTGCCATGAAATGTTTGGTTTCCTGCCTGGTCCTTCCTGGTAACCAGGGATGCAGGCACAAGACATACTTTTTTGGTTGGGATTCTCAGTGAGTAGAACAAGTCTCAAGCTGCACTAGAATCCTGGCGAAAATGAGGTGCCCTGCCTTGTAGCTTATGGTCTGAATCAACAAATCGAAGTGCATCCGGTTGTCCAAACCCCCAAAATAGGAATAAAGCCTTTGAATCTTGGCTCTGACGAACTATAAGATTACCTGACTATTTTTATATTCCCAAGGAAAGAGGCTATGGGTAACAATCTGGCAGCACAGGTATATATTTAGTAAAATAAGTATTTTCTTATACCTGATAAGACTTGTTTTACTTTTCTGTAGTTAGCCATTGCTATCATATCTCCTCTGTGTTTATTCTCTGAGGATTATTTTTGAAACCCTGTTTCATTCTTTAATGATTTTATTTTCCCTGCAAATGTTGCTAGTTCTTGTAGACTCCTAAGTATACTCCAATGCATTGGAACCTCAGCAGAGACTACAGATGTGTAAGAATAGAGTTGATTAGGAGGCTTTTTGGACAACATTTCCTTTGTTGGAAAAAGCTGATTAGTTAAACTAAAGCTTTTTGTGGGAATGTATCAGTTTTGTCAAACCTTTCAACAAGAAAGCTTTCTCAGCTTGGGCAGAATAGGCAGGTAGATGCCCAGATCACTGTGGTACTGGTTATCAATTACTGGGTGGGCTGTGAGAGCTTTGAAAGGTGTTGGCTTTGTCCTGATGGGGAACAGGAACATTTTATTGAAAGTGGGGCACATCTACATGTGCAATTAATAAGCTCTGGCACAGTTTGTGCTGGAGTTTATTCATAGTATCATAGAACTTAGGGTGGGAAGGGACCTAAACAGATCATCAGGTCTGACCCAGGCAGGGACAGGTGCTGGGATCGTATCACCCCAGCCAAATATCTCTCCACCCTCCTCTTGAAGAGGCCCAAGGTAGGAGAGAAAAAGGAGTATTCCCTGACTGAGAATTGAACCCAGGTCACAGTAGTGATAGTACTGAATCCTAACCACTAGACCATGAGGGATTCATGGCCTTGTTTTGTCTTGAGTGGAACTAAGTTGAGGGTGTTATTGTTCCCAGGGAAATTATTGTTCCCAGGTACCACGTTTACATGTGCACCTGGGACCGCAGCACATTGAGCTGGGGCAGAGCAGCCCTGGCTGGCAGGGCGCCCGGGGGGGGGGGGGTCTGCCTGCCAGCTGGCTCTGAGCCAGCTCAGTGTGCTGCAGAGGGGCTGGCTGGGGCATGAGAGTGCTCCAGGGTTGGGCTAGCCAGCAGGCAGCCCCAACACTGAAGTACCCTTGTGACCCAGCCAGCCCCATCACCATGCGTTGCAGCATACTAAATGTCACCAAAGGTACTATCCTATGGTGGTGTTAAGTAGTATCCTATGGCAACATTTATTAGTTTACTTCAGCCTAATAGGGGTCCATGTGTAGATGCTGAGACTTTATGGTGGATCCAATTAGTCAGCTCTGTAGTAAACACCTTATGTAGATGTGCTCAGTGTTTGCCAATGCAAAAAGCAATTGATCTCTAAGATAAGTATTGCCCTGCTCCAGCATCCAATTGTGCAAACAGCCTTGTAAGTAAGATGTAGCTCACCCAAATACTCAATGAAAAAAAGGGCCAACTGTTTCAGCAAATCGTAATGGTGGGTTTTATTTGCAAGTATAATGAACAGTACTTTTCTGCTAGATTTGTTCAGCTCTCCTTGAGACCTCATTATCCAAGTCACTTGGCAATTGTTAGTGCAAACACAAAGCTGCTGTGCTCAGGATGATTTAATTCACTCTTATTTTGTGGCACGGATTTTCTGCTTCTTCCCTTCTTCCCTCGTGTTCAATACATAGTCACTAGGTGGTGCTCTTAGTGCATGCTACCCTCTCAGCAAATGCAGTGATGTGCAATATTACTAACTTGAACAGTCTATGAACACTATCCCACTAGCCAGATCTCTTGCTGTGCCCATGTCAACTTGGAAAAAAATATTCATTTTCATTTGGTGTTACCACTAAAAACTATAAATTCACTGGGCAAGGTGCAGGGCTGGCAACACTAGAAGTTCTGCAGCAAGTATGGTACAAGGTGATCCTTTCTGTACTTTGATCTGAACCTCATACTAAATCATTTCCAAAAAGTTGATTTTATACTTCCTTTAGGTGATACAGTCCATAAAATGGTGTTGCCAGTGCTTGTTAATTTACACCAAGCATTGCAATTTTGGTTCTTACTGAATAAGTTCATGAAAATGGGATAAACTTCTCTTTACTTAAGATTTTGGACCTCTCTCTATCTTTCTCTTTCTCTGCATAAAATGCTTGTAGTCCAAGAGAGAATACACAGAGTTGCCAGCTATACACACACACATGAGCTATAGCCCCAGATGTTTCCCTGGAATGTAATAACCAAAAAATTAATCTATTAATCCAAACTGCTTTATTAGAAGAGATAGCTAATAGTCATTCATTTTAGAGATGATGTAGGTGAAGGTGGGTTTTCACTGTCAAGTCCCTGAGTTATAACTTGTGTTGCTATTATCTAAAGTCCTGTCCATAAGCAAAACCCCTCAATTTGTGTGTGTGGTAGTGAAGGGGAATAAACTGAAACTCAAATGAACAATTCATCTTCTGTAAGCATGACCACTCTGCAGTTGTGGATGTAACTTAGTTCCACTCAAGCACTACTAGTCCTCTAACGCTGTCCCATAATTCCCTTTGTGCACCCAAGACAGCAAGACAAATTCTTACATGATCCACTGGGAAAGCATCCATAGAGCAGCTCAGCTTACTGCCATGCTAAGAACCATGCCTCAGAAATCTTCAAATCACAGAACAGGGGGTCGGCAATGTTTTCGGCTGGGACCTCAGGTCATCGAGTCCAGGGTTGTGCTGCCCCAGACATGCGTGCACCCACCACTGGCTCAGCTCCTAGCTGGGGCGCCCGAACCTGGTGTATCTGACTGCAGACTCCTAGTTGCAGCTGGCCCAGGCTCTGGGCAGCTGCTGCCAGCCATGGAGCCCAGGCTGCTCACAGCAGGGCTTGCAGCTTCCTGCTTGCCCAGAGCCCAGGATGGTTGCGGCGTGCCAAGGAAAATGGCCGCATGTGCCATGCTCTAAAATGTGTGCCATGGGTTGCCAACCCCTGTCATAGAATCCTAGACAATTACAGTTGGGAAGGGACCTCAGGAGGTCATTAAGTCCAAACCCCTGCTCAAAGCAGGACCATCCCCAACTAGATCATTCCAGCCAGGGCTTTGTCTACTGGGTCTTAAAAAGATTCCACCACCTCTCTGGGTAATCTGTTCCAGTGTTTTACTACCCTCCTAGTGAGAGAGTTTTTCCTAGTATCTAAATTACACTTTCCTTGCTGCAAGGGAATCTGAGTGCCAAGCAAATGAGTACAGTACCCCGTAGACACAGCAACTCAAATGCTGTTTTCCAGTGCAGTTGCTCTCTTGGGTTAGGTTGTCCCGAGTGGACTTACTTGATTGTAGACAATTCAAAGTTAATTTTGGTGTGCATAGTCATTTCAGGCACTGCTGGGAATAGAAGCCAAATCAAATAGAAACCATGTCTGTATGGTAAACTCCCTGTCCTCCATTGTGCCATATTTGAGTATGCAGCACAACTTTGGGTGAGCTACCTCAGAACTGGAATTAATGTAGCTTTTTTCATCGGGTGCTGAGAGACAGGTTGATTAGCACTGAGCTATACTGCCAGTTAGCTTGCCCCAGCATGCAGTGACTACAGTGCTTCCATTTTAAGAATCAGCCCAACTAAAGTAGTGTAGTATGCTTGAGGATGTCACCACTGGGGATGCAGTGCTTATAAGATCATAGGAAAGTAGGACTAGAAGGTACCTTGCAAGGTCATCTAGTCCAGTCCCTGACTAAAACATGCGAGCTAAGGCTAAAACAGATATTGGGTTTATCCCAGGTCTGATTGTCCTGGGCCTTGACTCATATCAAAACAGACACAGGACAGTCCTTTACAAATGCAGCTTGAATGGCAATTAACTCAAGTTAGGCTTGATTGTTCACATGAAAAAAGTGTTATCTTGGTCCTTCAAATGGAACAAAGGTCTGGCAGTCTGTAGGATCCCAGAATAAAAGGTTTTGTCCTAGGACAAATCTGATGTCTATTTTTAGCCCGAGTCTACTCTTGAAAATTTCGAAGGGTGCATACACCACACCTTCTCCAGGTAGTCTCTTCCAATGCTTCAATATACCTGCAAAGCTACAAACTTCCTCCTAATCTCCAACCTAAATTTTTTCTGCTGCAGTTTGAGGCCATTGCTCCTAGTCTTATCCCCTACAGCCACAGAAAAAACCCATGTCCATCCTCTTTATAATCATCCTTTAAGTATTTGAAGACTATTATCAAATCCTGCCACAGGCTTTTCTTCTTCAGACTAAATTCAGTTATTTCAACCTTTCCTCAAAAGTCTTGCTTCCCAGGCCCCTGATAATTTTGTTGTTCTGTGCTGGACTGTTTCCAATCTGTCTACATCCTTGAAGTGTGAGGTCCAAAACTGGACAAAGTACTCCAGGGTAGACTTTCAGTACTCCACATGGCCTCCAAGGTAAGAATCTCATACCCATCACTCCCATATCAGAGACGGTTAGAGAGACTTCCAAATCAGACGGCAGGCCCAAAATATGATTGAACTTAAACAACAACAAAAAATCCTGGATTTTTAAAACTTTTTAACAATTTTGTGGAGTTGGTTTAAATATTTCTGAGAATCCTAGTAAAATGGGAATACTTCTTCTCTATTCAATAACTGTTGAGCCTGAAATGTTTGTCAAGTGTTTTGAACTCCCCAGGTGGAGTGGGCAATCAAAATATCAAATGTTAACTTGTGACAGTGAACATCTGGACTCCTTTAGTACCCCCTTAGCAGCACCCCGATTAGACTGATGGTGATGTGCAGTCTTAAGTGAAGAGCTGCTTGTAAACTGATCAAATCTTTCCTGCATTTATGATTTGCAGGCCCCCAAGCCCCTGGCTGTGCTGCTTTCCAAACTGGACCAAGTGGAACAAGCAAAAGGAAAAAACAGTAGTCACAAATAGGTAAATCTAGTGCTTATGGGGCATCTGAAATGCTGGCCACTATAATAATGCAGACACCTATCTTAATGGGGTGAGGCATAAAACAGCATTGAGGAACAGGAGAAATTTTCTCCACCCATTTCCTTTCCCGTTCTTCTCTGCCTCCTGCTTCTCTTCCCTATTTAAAGTACCCTCCTTTTCCCCCCACCCCAGCACACAGGAACAAAGATCTTTTAAAGATACCTTACACTAACAGGTTCCTGCCTGCGTCTATGGGTGCTGCTTCGGTGGCACAGGGGGGTATCCTGTGATAGTGTGCTGCTATTCACCAAGTGCAGCAAACACAAGGAGCCTCTAAATTAATGGCTGAATCCAGAGAAGAGCTCAGATCATGCAGCAGCTGGTAGGAGTTGTAGACATGTAGCACCCCTCCAGAGCTAATCCTCAAAAAGCAACATAAGTTATGCTGACCTCAAAGGCAACATAAATCATGCTGACTTTGTGGCTTTATCCTGTGCTGCTGCTGAAGAGCAGACTGGGGGCTTTTTTTGTTTGTTTGTTAATTTATCCCTTGGAGTCATGCAGCATGGAGCTGCAGAAATTCCTTCTGAAGAATTTGTTGTCCATTGTTTTGAGCACAATATGATGTCTGAAACCAGGAATGAAAATGAATGTGGTTCTATACTGGTCTCTATTTTAGAACCTCATTAAAATCACATCTGCCAAACAAATAGGATTTGAGAGTGACTTCAGAGTAGAGTAGTGATGGGTGTGGGAAGCATGTTGCTGAAGGCACATTAGCTGGAAGAGTACATGTGTAGCAGATTGTGTTTAGAATAAAGTTGCCTAGTCAGTCTACATGTCTTTATTCTTATACAGGAATTCCAACCTTTGAATATGAGGGCCAACATAGATCAACCTGGAAAGGCCAGCTGAGAAGCAAGCACTAATTAAATTAAGAAGAAACAGAGATCTAGACTGGTGTATTCTTGTCCTTGTGACAGCTCTGTAAGAAGCCCTAGTACTGGAGAAGGAAAAGGGATGTATGATATGGAAGAGGGACACCGAGTGATTTTAGGGAAGGTGATCTCTGCAAAGTTTTATTCAGGGGGTTTATTTCAGGGAAGGAGTGTCCCAAAGCAAAGCAATTCATCTGTGCTTCTGTCTGAGACTTGCTTGTTTAACTGAGCACATTTAATGGGAGATGTGCAAGATCCCATCCCTGCTATCTCTGTGTCTCCCAAAGAGAGGCTTTAATAACTGCAGCAGAACCCAGACGAGCCTATAGGCTACCAAAGCCTTCCTATTAATGTGGCTAGTAAGGCAGCTTTTATCTTACCTCATGCACTCTGAAGCAGGACAGATAAATGTGATCGCCTTAGCTCAAGTACAAATTCTAAACTATTAGATGACAATTAGATCTTTTACACTTACCAGATAGCTTAAGAACTGGATTTTAGAAGTCCCTCACTGGGGTTGCCAAGTGTCTGTAAATTTGCAAACAGTCAGTAAAAAAACAGGCTAAAACATCTATCCATAAAGTCCATAAGAAATGGAGCCATCCTTAAAAAAGCTAAGTAACTGGAAGATTGACTGAAGCTCTGCCTTTGAAGCAGGTAGACAGACAGTTGTCTTTCTTTAGGGCTTTATGCAAGGTGGGGGAGCATGGTACAGGTATAGAATCATAGAAAACTCGGGTTGGAAGGGACCTAAGGAAGTCATCTAATCCAACCTCCTGCTCAAAGCAGGCCCAGCCCCAACTAGATCATCCCAGCCAAAGCTTTGTCTAGCCAGGTCTTAAAAACCTCCAAGAGCTGAGATTTCCCAACCTCTCTGGGTAACCTGTTCCAGTTTTTTACTACCCTCCTAGTGAGAAAATTCTTCCTAATATCTAACTTAAACTTCCCTTTGCCACAACTTGAGACTGTTGCTCCTTGTTCTGTTATCTACCACCACTGAGAACAATCTAGCTCCATCCTCTTTTGAACCCCGCTTCAGATAGTTGAAGGCTGCTCTTAAACACCCCCACCCCTGTCTTCTCTTCTTTAGACAAAATAAGCCCAGTGCCCTCAGCCTCTCCTCAGAAGTCATGTGCCCCAGCCCCCTCACCATTTTTGTTGCCCTCTGCTGGACTCTCTCCAGTTTGTCCACATCCTTTCTGTAGTGCGGCCCCCAAAACTGAACACAGTACTCCAGATGTGGCCTCACTAGTGCTGAATAGAAAGGAATAATCACTTCCCTTGACCTGCTGGCAATATACCTACCAATGCAGCCCAGTATGCTTTAGCCTTCTTGGCAACAAGGGCACACTGTTGGCTCATATTCATCTTATTGTCCAGTGTAACCCCCAGGTCCTTTTCTCCAGAGCTGCTGCCCAGCCAGTCAGCCCCCGGCCTGTACTGGTGTATGGGATTGTTCTATTCTAAGAGCAGGACTTTGCGCTTTTCCTCCTGAGGTCCCTTCCACAGTGTCCTTTGCACTTTGCACTTGTTGAACCTCATGAGATTCCTTTTGGCTCAATCCTCCAATTTGTCCAGATCTCTCTGAATCCAAGCCCTACCCTCCAACATATCTACTATTCCCCAGAGCTTGATGTCATCTTCAAACTTGCTGAGGGTGTACTCATCTTCCAGGTCACTGATGAAGAAATTGAACAAAACTGGCCCCAGCTCTGACCCCTGGGCACTCCACTTGATACTGGCTGCCAACTAGACATCAAGCCATTGATTATTACCCTGTGAGCTGGATGCTGCAGCCAGTTTTCTATCCACCTTACAGTCCATTCATCCAACTTGTACTTCCTTAGCTTTCCTGCAAGAATGTTGTGAAAGACCATATCAGAAGCCTTGCTAAAATCAAGATACACCTCATCCACTGGTCTCCCCATGTCCACAGAGCCAGGCACCTCATCATAGAAGGCAATCAAGTTGGTCAGGCATGACTTGCCCCTGGTGAATCCAGGCTGACTGTTCCTAATCACCTTTTTCTCCTTCAAGTGCTTAGAAATGGATTCCTTGAGGGTCTGCTCCATGATTTTTCCAGGGACTGAGGTGAGGCTGACTCATCTGTAGTTCCCTGTATCATCCTTTTTCCCTTTCTTAAATATGGGCACTATGTTTGCCCTTTTCCAATCATCTGGGACCTCTCCTGATCAACATGAGTTTCCAAAGATGATGGTCAGTGGCTCTGCAATCTCATCAGCCAACTCCTTCAGCACCCTCGGGTGCATCCCATCTGGCCTCATGGACTTGTATATGTCCAACTTTTCTAAGTAGTCCCTAACTTGATATTATGGTGTGGAGGTGATTAGGGGCTAGTGGGATGGAGGCAGCATGGTATAAAACCACTGCTGTAGTCAAACAGGGTTGCCCGTGCAAGAAATATTATTTTACTGATAATCCACAAACTTTTTACTGATAACCAAACTTTTTTACCATGGTTGGTATAAAACCCCTACATTTGAACCCAACCCTTGTCCAGGGAGTGGCAGAAGGGTTACATTTACATTATGTAAAACATATGTGAGTAAAGAAGCTCGCTTGTAAAAAGCTTGCAGATCGTCAGTTTAAAAAAGAAATTATTTTGGGTTGGCAGCCCTGCCCCCCATTTTCCAAATGAACCCTTGTTTAGAAGGTTAAATAACATCTATATTCTCCTCCAGGCAAATGGCCTGAAAAATATCCTGAGAGCCACTGATCCAGTATTTCTCCTATATTTAAATAAGACATAGATGTAAGAATTAAAGATGCCAGCATATAGACAGCTATATGCAAATAGGCAGTGAGATTTCCTTGAATATCCCCTTTTTGAGACTAGTAAAGCCCTCCTTTGGCCTAGAAACCTACCTATGTGCAGCCCAAAACTACAAATAACTGGAGACCAATATGAGACTACGATTCACTCTGAGATCTGCAGTTGGCATGGGAAGGTGGTGTCAGACCGTGTATCTGGACAGAATATGTGTCTGTGGAAAGAATGAGATAGATGACTTATATCACTATTTGTTGTCTTGTTTGTTCTTTGAAGAAAATGGATCTCTTCATTAGTTGGAAATTTAAAATACTGGGCTAATAAATAAAAAAACAAATTTGCCTTCTTTCTAACAATTCAGATCCTATCCTATACTCCTTAGGCGTATTTGCATGTATTTAAAATTACCATATTTACTCAAATCCAAAATGAGGGCCCCCCCCTCCCCATTTAACAAAAGGTGAAAGCCCCTTATCTTGGATTTGAGTATGAGGCGGTGGGGCTAGACAACTACTATGGCTCCAGTCTCGGAGCTGTAAGTGGAGCTAATGCCTGTCCCCTGCCTCTCCCCCGCACAGTCTTAGCCCCCCCCCCCCCCCTCTTCCCTCTGTCTCCCCTTACTCTGGAGTCAGGGACCGAGCTATCATGCCACCACCATTGCTACTGGGCCAGGCTGGGGCAGAGCTGGAGCCTGCCAGAGCAAGAGAATAGTGTGGGGGGGGGGAGAGGAGTCAGGGGGGGAGAGGCCTTGGGGTGGGGCTTGAAGGGGAGGCAGGGGACACAAGGTTGTGAGAGGGGGCAAACAGTGGGGCAGAGGCTGAAGAGGGGAGAAGGGGATGTAGGCAGCAGGGGAGCAAGTGGAGGGGGGACAGATGGCAGGGAACAAGGTGTGAGGGTGCAAGGAGCAAGGGTCAAGCTGCTGGACACCCCCACCCTCGCCTTTCCCCTGCCACAGCTTTCAGTGTTGTTGCAATGGTGGGGAGGGGAGACACAAAACTGAGATCCTTCCAAAGGTGCCAAGGGGGGCCTCACATTGTTAGCACTTTTAGGTTTACAAACACAATTCATACGATAAACCCAGAGATTTCAAATAGAAATCCATAGTTGTGGTCCTTCTGAGTTTTTTACAACAGAAAAACTGCTTTAATTTCTATAATCAAAAACATATATACTGACTCATTTTAAATGCCTAAGTAGGCTCCCATACTAAATGAATATGCAGTCGCATGCTTAGGTAACAGTATTATACTATTAATTGAAAACATCCCTTCCACCTATACTGTCAGTATATTTGTCTGAATGAGTACTGTAATCCCCAAAACAAACACAAAACCTACACAGATAAAAACCTCCCCAGTGAGTCCAGAAATTGATACTTTCCAAGAATAAAAGAAACCCCCAACAGCTACAACAGAAGTCTTCTTAAAGCTTCTTCTGGATTTGAATTTTAATGAAGACTCATTCTACATCCCGTGCCAAATCATCACAGCACAGTATTCAGCACTCTAGGTTTGATGTACTCGGAACCCCACATTGTTATTGCCACGATAGCAGGACTTGCACAGGATCCTTAGAAAGTGGCTCTCTGACTTCTTCCACAGTTCTCACGCCTGAGAGATACAAAGTGTTTGAGGACCCTTAACCCTGAAAGATTATTTCCCTGCACTGTGAATACAGCTTGCTGCAAGAAGTCTGAAGAGATGTCTTTATTTCACATGAACATAATTCTGCAAGTGCTCTTCATATCACTGTCCTGGCATCAGAACAGAAAAAAATTTCTTCACAATCTGTTTTAGTGATGCAAATGGGCTCAAAGCTATGTAATTACTTTTTATGCTCCTTGGACGAAGCAATGTAAGCAATCCTTTTATTGCAACATACCAGTCACCACCATGACTGAAAACCTGAGTGCCATCCATCAGAGCTGGCAATGAGCAATAATCACAACAATCGGAGCAGTAGCAAATTGGACAAGTAAGTTTTAGAAGATCTCAGCACATATGTTCATTAGAAACTCCAAAGACTATAACTTCCCTTTTCCAGAGTTTTTTTTTAAATACTAGAGAATGGGGTTTGGTCACACTGCTTCCTTAAATGATAAGGGTAGTGCTGGTTTCAGTGCCCTTAAATAGGTTTAGCCAAAACTTGCAGCTGCAGGAAAAGACAACATTTCAAGTCAGTGTCTTTTTTCATATCAGTTTTACTCAGGGAAATATTGGGCAGGCATAAAGCAAAACAAGTGTTAAGGG